CCCGCACCGGCGGAAGGGGCTCTCGTCTTCGAAGATGCGGTGGCTCAGGGCTGGGAGATGGTCGGTGATCCCGAGGGATCGGCGCTTTACGGCCCCGTGAAAGAAGACAGCCCGCTTTTTCCCCCGTCCGCCCTGCCCGGAAAGCCCGTGCTTCCTGCCTCGCCTGCCACCCTTTCCAGCACGTCCCTGGGCCCTATCTCCGGGTCGTGCCTTGTTAGCGCGAGCGCGGTCGAGAAGGTCCTGAAGGCCGTGGTGGCGCTGGCCTGGCTGCACGCCAAGCACTGGGGCATCTTGGAGAGGGCGGCATGGGACGGGGTGGTCGACGCCTGCGTGCGCCCCGGGGGCTTGAAGGTGCTTCGAGGCAGCAGCTACAGCACCCTTAGCACTGGGAGCAGCCAAGACGGAGGGAAGAGGGGGGGGGGAAGCGCGGGGCGAGAGCCTGGAGGAGTTGGACGGGCTCCCCTTCCTGTGGGCGGGCGAGCACGTCCGGAGGCGACGCCGGCGCCTGTGCGAGGCCTGGGAGCGTCTGAGGAACCGGGCGGGCTTGTCCCTGTCTCAGGATGCCACGGCAAGGCTAGAGCGTCTGGTAGAGGAACCGGGTCTGTTGGAGGCGCTGTACCGGCCCGTGTTGACCAAGGACGAGGCGGTGCCCCAGGGCCTGCCAGGGTGGGTGGAGACGAACGAGGACGACGCAGTGGCGGTGCGTCGGGTCGGGACCTTGACCGTGCTTCACGGGGCGTTTACCTGGGACAAGCTGGGCTTCAGTATGCACGCGAACGAGGGCGTGCTGGCCGTGGGGTGGGAACAGGCCTGCGTCGGTCCGGGGCCGTGGGACCTCGCTTTGCTCTTAGCCACGGCGCGTCGTGATGGTGAAGAGAGCGAATTCAAGGGGTCAGGCAAGAGGGAAGACCAAAATGACGATGACGCCGAGATGACAGCCCTGTCCCTTTACCATCAAATATTAATGGAGGGCGGTGTGGAGCAGTACGACTTCGAACGGCTGCTTTTTGAGTACCAACGGGCAAAGGCGGGCCTGGCCCCAGAGCTTTTGAGTACTATTGCGCGGCACCTTGACGAAGAGGATGATGTCAAGGGCAAAAAATTAGGAGATACAGCGCAGGATGCTTATTGCATGTCCTTAAGAAATGCTCTGGAGGCCTCGCTGGATCTCTTGGACGGGTAACGACAGGTGGTGAACAGAACGAGATAATGTAAAGTTTATGGAAGGTGCTACAAACCAAAGCAAATCCTGTGTATGAGGAGAAAGGCGTTCTAAGTTCTTTCAAAAACATTTTTCCTCCTTTTTGTTTTCACTTGCTTTTACTCTTGGCTGTTTCCCTTCGAACTCCTTTTTTCCTTGTAGGGAAAGCAAGCTACTGCATTTCCTTCAGAGAGAAAAATATACATATCCCTTGATCAAGCAGACTTGGATCTGTTGATCAGAAGCTAGCTGACAATTTACATGCATTGATTAAATTGCTGCTTCAATGCCCAGCTCCACGGCAATGATCCGGACAGTGCATTTTTTTTACGGGTGTAGCCGGGAGGTTAACTACTGCCAGTAAGCTAAAAGCCTCATGTGTGGCCGACCAAAAATCGAATCTGGGCGGCGATGCACACCTTTGTCGCACATTTATAGACTAGAGAATTTGGACACTCACGCTATGTACATTTATTTTTTGCAGGGTCAAGCTTGTCTGCGGGGAATTTTACGCGGGGTGGACGAGCGCGGCATCATGGTAGGGATAAGACATGGCAATGGGCAAAGGCCGGAATAGTGCGATATGCACTTCTGTTGTGTTTTATATCGGTGTCTTATCATAGCTGTCGTGTCAAACGTCTTGAGGACAGTCAGGCATGAAAGGCATGGATATTTGTTCACTGTGTAGCTTTCCTTTTCTCATAACACTTGGCTCTGATACTCATCCTTTCTGTGCAGGTGCGTTTTGATCTTGACGGGCTGGACCTCTTCTTCCCTTATGATCGATTGTACGAGGAGCAGTACAACTATATGCTCGAATTAAAACGTGCCCTGGACGCCAAAGGGCATTGTCTGCTTGAGATGCCTACTGGCACGGGCAAGACCGTTTGTCTAATTTCTCTGATAACGAGTTACCAGTTCGCGCACCCTGAAGTGGGCAAGCTAATCTACTGCACTCGTACCGTGCCTGAGATGGTGAAGTGCGTGGAGGAGGTTCGAAAGGTCATCGATTACCGAGTGAAATGCATCGGCGCCGAGGGCGGGAAGGTACTGGCCGTCTGTCTGAGCTCGCGGCGGAACTTGTGTATCCACGAGAGGGTGATGGAGGAGAGCGACCGGGAGGCTGTGGACTCGGCCTGCCGATCTATGACCGCGTCCTGGGTGCGTCAGAGAGGGGCGACGTCGGCGAACGTGGAGCTCTGCCAGTACTACGAAGAATACGAGAAGAATGGCACGGATGCGGGCATTGCCCACGGGATATACTCCCTGGACGACTTAAAGGAGTTGGGGAAGGACCGGGGCTGGTGCCCGTATTTTCTGGCGCGGCATATCATTAATCATGCCAACATCCTCATCTACAACTACCAATACGTCCTGGATCCGAAGGTGGCGGGCCTGGTCTCCAAGGAGCTGGAGGCAGAGAGCATCGTTGTCTTCGACGAGGCCCACAACATCGACAACGTCTGCATCGAAGCCTTGTCTGTGGAACTGGACGAGCGGTCGCTGGACAAAGCCACTCGGTGCCTAGGGAAACTCTCCACCGAGGTGAGCAAGATGAAGCAGAAGGACGCGAACAAGCTGAACGAGGAGTACCAGCGCCTTGTAAGGGGTCTGGCGGAGTCGGGGGCCCTGGGTGGGGCTGCCGGGGCAGGCTCTGCGGCCTCTCCCGCGGACGCAATGCTTGCGAACCCGGTCCCTCGACTGCCCGACGCCTTGGCCCAGGAGGCGGTACCGGGGAATATTCGACGGGCCGAACACTTCCTGACCTTCATGAAGAAGGTGGTAGAGCATTTGAAGACCCTCCTCCGTGTAGACAGCACGCAGAAGCAGTCCCCCCTGGCTTTTCTCCACTACTTGCAGACGAAAACGGCGCTGGAAGTGAAGCCCTTGCGCTTCACGTACTCCCGGCTCAACTCCCTACTGCGCACCCTGGAGGTGACGCACCTGGACGAGTTCAACCCTTTGCAAGACGTGGCCGACTTCGCCACCCTGGTCGCCACCTACGCGGAGGGCTTCACGGTCATCACCGAGCCTCAGGGGTCCAGCATCCCCGGGCTTCGCCAACCCGTCCTCCAACTCTCCTGCTTGGACGCCTCCCTGGCCATCAAGCCGGTCTTCGAGCGCTTCAAATCGGTGATCATCACGTCCGGCACCCTCTCCCCCCTCGATCTGTACCCCACCCTCCTCAGTTTCACGCCCGTGGTCCGGCAGAGCATGGACATGTCCATGTTCCGGAAGAGCATTTGCCCCCTGGTGGTGACCAAGGGCTCGGGCCAGCAAGTGATCACGACCCGCTTCGAGAAGCGCGACGACCCCTCCGTGACGCGGGACTACGGCGAGCTCCTGGTGGAGATAGCCACCCACGTCCCGGACGGAGTCGTCTGCTTCTTCACCTCCTACTCCTACATGGAACGGGTCGTGCAAGAATGGGAGGACGGGGGGATCCTCCGGCAGATCTTGGAGAGGAAGTTGATCTTCATCGAGACCAAAGACGTGGTGGAGACGACCCTGGCATTGGACAACTTCCGACGGGCCTGTGACTCTGGACGGGGGGCGATTTTCCTCTCCGTCGCCCGAGGAAAAGTGGCGGAAGGGATCGATTTCGACCGGCACTACGGCAGGGCGGTCATTTTGATAGGAGTGCCCTTTCAATACACATTATCCCCGGTTATTCGCGAGCGACTCGAATACTTGCAGACGAAGTTTCACATCAACCCTTCGGATTTTTTGACCTTCGACGCCATGCGACAGGCGGCTCAGTGTGTGGGGAGGGTGATCCGCAGCAAGCTGGACTACGGACTGATGATATTCGCCGACTCCCGGTACAACCGGTACGATAAGAGAACGAAGCTACCGAAGTGGATCTTGGACTGCATGGGAACGAACCATTTGGACTTGTCGACAGGAGACGCAATGGACAAGGTCCGGAGGTTTTTGAAGGAAATGGCGCAGCCGATGGACGGGAAGGAGTTGCAAAAGATTCTGTTGGACGAGACCCGGATCGCGGAGCTGACGGCCATCCACCAGAGGGGCCTTCAGGGTCTCCAGGCGCGAAACAAGGGCGCGACACTTGGGGTGGCAGGAGCAGCCGCGCTGCCCTCACTCACGCAAGGTGGGACAGGAGGGGGAGCGGGTGGAAGGGGAAGCGTGGACGGGAAGGTGGGCGGTGGGGGGGGGGCAGCGGCGGGTGTGGTGGGAGGGGGCGTCGCGGTCCATGGACCCGGAGCTCGACGGGAGGAGCAGGCAGGGGATGACGTTGCTGCCATCGAACGGGGGGCATTGATTCGGGAGGAGGAGGAGGAGCGTCGGCGGGTGCGTGAGGAGGCGGAGGCGATGCGGCAGGATGCGGAGGACGAGGCCTGGCTGGAGCGTGCGGATGTGGAGGAGGGGCAGGACGCAGCGGTTGACATGGAAGAGGAGCGAGAGAGGGAGAAGGAGGCTCCCGTGTCGATGCCGCAGCAGGAAATGGGCCAAAAGGGCCAGGAGAAGAAACGAGAGGTCGATTTGGGGGGGAGGGGAGCGCCATGGAGGTCGAGCAGACGCGAGATGTAAGCTAGCGGTGTACAGTGGCTAAGAAGTAGATCCCGAGTGTTTAATCTGCTGCACGTAATAACCTTTCTATTTTTAAAAATTTCCTTTCGAACACTCTTTCCCCTGTTTTTGCCGA